ATTGAATCAATTTAATTAAAGGTGATTGAATATATATAACTATCAATACAAATATGTATACTGCTTTAGTTTAATACATATATAAAAATGATTATATAAATTTATTAAGTGCATATGTCTTTGGCGTTTAATTTTGCAAGAATGCATAAGATATCAAACATCGAATTGTTAAAATTTTAGTCAAGTGAATTAATTGGTTCTAAAATGCACTACAATGAACGGAATAAGAAAATCGTATCACATTAACACAAAGCATAATTACTTTTAATGCGTTAAAATGCGAATCCATAAGTGAATTTATACGACAGCTAAATCAATAACGATAATGACTGATTGAAATCCTACTATATACATGTATAATATAACCATATAATGTTATTAATTATTTTATAAAAGCCACAACGGATTCTAATCCATAACGGATAAATCGCCGTTATATACCGGCTTCATTAATAGATCTTTGATATAACGAGATTTTTTACTAAAGAACTAATCCGTCCGTTATATCGATTGCTCCTCTGCGCTATTTCTCACGACGGTAATAAAATTTCACAGATAAGTGTAAAATATGTTCACTATAACAAGGTAAATTTTGATAAGCAGAAGATTCTAATGATTCTTAAGTTTTATATTGAGCTCTTATACTTAGCTGTGCATGCGAAAATTCTGGTTAAAGGCAGTTTTTTTCATTTTTTTGTACCACTGCACCCGGTACTTTATGAATTTTTAAGGGTATTGTTTATATCCATTATTTCTATTTGATAAACTAACGAATTTTAGTTTAAAAAAGCAAACCAACATAATTTAATTTTAGAACAATACAAGTTTAAAATTTCTTTGTTTCCAATCATCTCTGAATATTTGTTGTACATGGATACGATCCTAGAATTATTAATTTTATTTCCAACACTTCTCTTAACTTACTCATTACCATATTCTAATTTGTGCTGTTTTCATATAGATTTCGCATTCATTTACAACATATATAAATAGTAATATAGTTAATTTCTTAATATGACTATTTATAACCTGTTGTTATATTTTTAATAATGTTTTAAAGTTATATAGATCAAGCTTATAAATAAATATACATGAAATCGAGAGTTGAGATCTATATAATTAAAATTATCTTTTTATTCAAGCGCGGTCTGGGGCACGTTATCTTAGATTTATTAAAGGATTTAATTATTTATTCGATGTGGGTCTATTATGTAAGTAATATTATAAGTCTTTCGTTTGGTTCAAGTTTAAAAAATACAGCTTGGACTATTTATTCTTGCGGCTGAATTGTATATGGGGCATAGAATAAATTGTTATTAGTTAAAGCAAAAAAAGTGATCTGGAAGCACTTTGCATTATGTAAGAATGAAAACGCGATCTGAGAACTCAACTTTGTATCGACGTGGGACCCGTAAATGAAAGGCACATTATAGATTCTATTTTTTGTATTGTATAAGTGAAGTGCGGAATCCATTATGGCGAGCTGGGACCCATAGAAGATTCATTGTGTAAGAGAAAAAAGATAAACGCTTATTAAAATGTTTTCATTATCACCTAAATACAGAAGTCAATCAGAGGAGAATACGAATCAAATAAATAATCTTGATATTTTTAGTTTATAAAAGCCTAGCAAGTCATAGCACCTGAGAAAGCGCGTGATGAAACCTACTTATTATTACATATACATGTATAAGCAAGTGTAGTTGTAAATTACTATTATATGTAGTTACATAAGTGTTCGAACCAGTACATCTACTTTAATTATGAAATAAATAGTACATGTATTTTGTATTTCTATTAATTAATTTAATATACTTTCCAAATCAGTTCAGATCGTAGTTTTTTGATAGATATAAAAAAGTGGTCAAGCTGAGGTTTAAAATTTAAAAAAATTCATTTTACTTTATTTTATGGTATATCGTAGCGCACTCATATTATACATGTGGTCAAAAGTATTTTTGCTTTTATATGGCTCAAATTAATTGTCTCAGATTGCCTTAATTATCAGTACTTTTGCCACATGTATAGTTCATATAATATCCCCAAGAGACTGGGGATATTATTCATGTTTAGTGCGTTACGATATCAATAAGATTATTTATCTATCGATCCCTACATAAAAAATTATACCCACCTATATATCATTTCATATCGTTTTTACCGATGCCAAAACCTAAACCAATTAATTCCGCCGTTATGAAGAACGTCCACCAATACATGTTCCCAAACACTTCATCCACAAAGACGAGATATAAATTACGAAAACGATGATCAAATTTGTAAAATCATTATCGTTCCTCAAACAGCCAATAGTTCATCCGGCGACTAAGAATAATATGAGAATGGTACAGTGAATTAATTGGCAAAAAACAGACGATATTGATTTGCTTCTGGACTTCTTCGATCATCAAAATTCATCCATCCCGTGCGTTTTGTTGACCTTGGATGATAATTATACGTTCAAGTATGAGTTGATGTGCGTTTTTCATGTTATTTGCAACTAGAAGAGGATAATGATGATAAAGCTGATATCCTTATGTCAATGCGTTCGCGTTTCGATTAACTTTCAAGTAATTCAAAATGGTCAAATATCAAAAAAGTTAAAAGTGAGTTTTCATCTTATATAACAATTTTCGTTTGCCATTATGAATTATTGTTAATAATTTATTGATATATAGGATTGCCTCATTGCTTTCTTATACAGTATCTTATTTTTGCCTTATATTAGAGTTATAGTTCATTTTTTTTGTGTACATTTAATAAATTTTACAATACAGCAACCGGGTGACAGCAACATAGATTTTATCGTGTTAGTAATAAACTATCAACATGCTGAGCTTTAAAATTATTTTTCATCAAGATTTTTCGTTCACTTTAAATAGCACAAAAATATATGACGTATCGACAACATCTATAACAAGCTTTATTTTTTTGTTATAATGTCTTAACGAAAATTTTTGTTTTCTTTCATTCCTTGTTTATATTAAAATTCGACTTAATTTTTTTAGAAGATTTTAGAAATTCTTATTTTTATTTATAATGTCTTTATTTAACTTAAAAATGTATCTGAATTAAATAAAATATTTTTTCTTTGTTTAGAATTCTTGTTTTGTTTTAACGAGCGAGCTATCAAAGGAAAGCATAGAGGATGATAGAATATGCTAATTTCCTTCTGTACTTACAAATTATTAAGTGAATAAAAGTAGAAACTTAGAATTTTTATATCACAAAAGCTAACTATGTCATGTCATCGTTATTCATTTATTATCTTGAGTATAAGTAAGTTTCCATCTTTTTTGACACATATTTTGACATCAATATTGTCTTGCATTTATACAATCATTCCATATTACATGATTGCTGATTTTTAGTATTATATAGGACATGCAATATATACTGTACGAAGCCATCGCAAAATGTAACGCCCGATTTGTAATTAAAATATATTATTGCAATTCTTTTATTTTTAATTTTATACATAAAAAATTTTTATATTTAATTAGCTATCAAATTTGACCATTCCTTCTTTAGAACAGCATTAAGCTCATCCACGGTTCTTGGGAAGTTTTCATGCTTTTGGATATTATTCATAAAACTTCCAAGTATTTTCTATAGGATTGAGATAGCACAGGTCGAACAGGGTAGGTTTCACCGGGATAATAAAACATGGATGATATCAGGGATATAATACTGGTAAATTTACGGCAAAGTAACTATATTACTATATTTTTGCCCACACTTTAGACCAGTGATGATAAGTGACTTGAGATGACCAAATGACTCGTGACTGATCACGAGTCATTTGTCACGTGTAAATCAGCAAGTGACCAAATGGTTGGTCATTTAATTTCCAAGAAAACAACGCAAAACGAATTTCTAAGGATAAAAAGGACAAGAGCGAGTTCAGAATGAACCTTTAGTAGTGAAGGTAAGCAGGTAGATATTTGTTTGCTTATTACTTTTTTTAACTTTCACTTCACTAACTAAATAAATGAATTCTCGGGCGGAAAAAACATCTAAAAACACAAAAAAAAGGTGGGTACTCAATGTAATGTGGGATAGTGGCGGTAAGTTAGAAAATATACATACTAATCAATTTAATTTTATTTTTGCAAGGCTACGGGTTGCCTGAGAATCGCCGTTTGAACTTTTACCTCCATTAAGGGATTTTAGTTTGGAACGAGAGATTTATTGGACAAGTACAAGAAGCAATACAACTATGTCCGTAAGTAAACAAATTTTACTCGGGCAAACATACAAGAATATTATTTTGTCTAATTTGTTTTCATTTATCTTACTACTATCTACTCTGCTACCATCTATTCCACCATCTATCTGCCTACCATCTACTCTGTCACCGGCCATCTCACCATCTCTCTGCCTACCACCTTATGAAAACTCGTCATTCGGAAATCAACAAAACATCTGATATTTGTGCTCAAAGTGAGCCCGTTATATATCTTTTCCGCATGCATAGAACATTTTCTGCGCCTGTTTCGTATCTTCCACGCCTACTAGTTGATACTACTGTTTGCTAGCCATTATTCACACATCTTGCCACCGGCATTTTCGGCTGTTTACCACTATCTGCATATTAATTAACTATTGATAATTGTATACTTTGGTATAGACTAATTAATTTTATTTAATGCTCAATTTCGCTAATAAACTACTTACATATATTGATCTTATACTATTTATAATAGCTACAAACTATAATTGATCCTAAAATGCTTCTCCAAAACTTAAGAAACTTCCAAGAAAAACTGGTGCTTCCAAATTATCATTAAACAAAGTAGCTAGACTTCATTTAGCAAGTGAATCATCAGCCGGATGTATAGAAAGACCAACCAACTCAAAGTAAAATGCCTCTTCCTGAATTCGCTCTCCATTTGTTAAATGATTTCATCATCTAACACGTTTATCCAATTTTGAACAATATGATCCAATTGATTAGTTTTTAAAATTTCATCTGAAGAATTTGTATGGATTTTATTTATTTAGAGCAAGGTGGAAGAAGTAGAAGGAATAGAGGATGTAGAAGGTATAGGTGTAGAAGATATAAAAGAAGAGCTGGTTGTGCTTTCAACTTCATTCTCGTTATCACTGACATTATAGGTAGTAAAGTCATTAGGAATTTGCTCATTATCATTATAAGCTTGTGTAGATGCAGCAATATGCATGCGATGATATTGCTTTTCTGATCTTTCAATATTATCCCGTTTTCGTTTTCCTAATATTTTGCTACGTAACTGAGACATTTCTAGAACTTTTTTATACTAAAAAAAATAAATTAATAATAGTATTATAATTTTTAATAATAAATAAATAAAACTTACATCAAGACGATTTTGCCAATTTGAATGAAGAAAACCCATAGTAGATCAAAGACGCTCAACTGATGCAACATTTACACATATTCTAAAAAGATGTGGTGCTAGGCATGATAATTCAGGAGCTTCATCTTGGGCGGCCTCCCAAAAGTCAACTACATTTCCATCAAATTATTTAAATATATCCATATTAAAAGGATATACCTGCTATTGATAGCTTAGATATTCTTTCAAAATTCGATTTGGAATTGTTTCAAATCAAACTTGATAGTAATAATTGATCCATTTGCCGAAGTAAGTATAAGATTTAAATTTGTAGAATTGAACTTGAAGACTTGATATTGAGGATGTAAGATCAAAGAGAGAAGTAAAAGTGGCTGTTCTATTGAGTACATTGATTTTTAAGATATGCTATCATTTGCTTAGAAAAATATTCATTTTCAAAATATATAAATATTTTCATAATCCAGCCAAAATAGTGTACAACTTCATAGAGTCTTGCTATATCTTTTTATAGTTTGTTCAGAGTACTACAAAGTGACAATAATAAATCTTGAAGTTTGTATAATTTGGTCCAAAAGTTTTGATTATTGATAATATTAGGAGAAAGTGTATAATCATTATACTTAGAAATTGAAGTATACTATTAATAAATAAGATCAGTTTGTGAGCTGCTTGCTATTTCAATTCTTTCTGATATAAATTTACTAAGAACTAATATAAATTGATAATAATTAATAAATATTAATAAAAAATTAAATTTATTAATTTATTTCTTCGATTTAATATATTATTAAACAAAAATAATAATTACTCTATTATATTTCTTTTGATATAATTAAAGATACAGTTTTGTTATAATATAATTTTTATTTATTTTGAAGATGACTAATAAAGAAAATAAGTGAAAATAGCTTGCTAATTTGATTATATTACTTGATATAGACCAGTACAAAAAGTTAGTATATCAATATAAAATTAATAATTACTTCTGAATGATCTAAAATAACTTTTTATATTATTTTAATTATTCAATTATACTTTAATTTAATAATAAATAAAGCATTACTTTACTAAAAAAACTAAAAAAAAAGATATTTTAAATATTATTATTATCAATTTACAAGATTAAAACTTTAAATAATACAAATAAATTGCTCTAGATTTGATAAATATATATTCTAAATTTTATAAAACTAAATCAGTAGTATAAAGATATTAAGATTCAAAGTTTAGTAATTAAATTATTTATTATATAATTTTTTTATTAAATTTAATCAAATTTTATATAGTAAAATTTAAGAAATAATAATTTAAAAAGTAAATTTTTTTTATAAAAGATATATAATAAAAATTTTTACATTTAAATAACTTTCAATACTAATAACTTAATTAAATTAGACAAAATTAAAATTTTTTTTGAAAAAATAATTTATTAATATTTATCTGATATATTAATTTTTTTCTATCAGACCATATCTTCTTATAAATTACAAATCTTTGAAGATATCTGCTATAATCAAGTTTATTTGATAAATTATATATGAAATAAAAATTTTTGATAAATATTTAATTTATATCTTTTATTTATTTAAAAAACTTAATTAATAATTTATTATATTAAATTAATTTTTATAAAAAAAATACTTTTCTGATAATAATATATTTATCTGCTAAATTTGATATAAAATAATTAATTTTTATTTTCATATATTACTTTTTTTATAATAGTTATAATATAAGTTATACATAATCAATGTCAATATAACAGATAATTATTATAATAGATTTGGCTTAATATAAACTATTTTTAAGAATTAAAAATTCTAATAATATTATAAAAATTTTATTAATAAATAAACTTATAATGGATTTGGATTAATTTGGCTAAATATACTAATAGTAATATATAATTAATAAAATAAATTTTATTAAAATAGACTCTGATATAATAAAATAGACTCTGATATAATAAAGCAGATCCAATATAATTTAGGTTATTAAATAATATCAGTGAATTACAAATTAAACTTTATAACTATCAAATATCAGTTAAATATTACTGAATTAAAACTTTCTTGTTTTTCTAAATATTCTTTAGACTTTTTATCTATTCAAATACTAATAGATGAAATTATAAATACTAAAAATTCAAAATGAAAAGTAATGACAAATAATCCAATAGAAAAAATAAAAAAAGTTCATATTTCTCTTACCATACTTTAAAAAAAGAAATTTATAAATACTTGACCATTAATAAGATACTAAAACAAAAAGATATTATCACTAAGTATAAAATATCAAAGCAATTTATTTCTAATATCATCAAAATAAAAGAATAATGATTAAAAATTAAAGTGAAAATAACTTTAGCCAACTTCAAGTATATCTAAAAAATAATCTTTAAAGATATTAAAGAAATAATAAATATTTGAGTAAAAAATATATTAGCACAAAATGACTTAAACTTGAGTAATAATTTACTAATAGAAAAAGTCTTGGTATTTGTCAATAAATTTGAAGTTTCTAATAAGTTTCTAGCTTTTATGAGTTGAATAAGAAATTTTAAGAGATAAAATAATTTGAAGTCTTATAAAAAATATGATGAATTAGATAATATTAATATAAATAAAATTCCAGAATTTTACTAGCAACTTCAAGACATAATCAAAAATTATGAATTCAAAAATATATTCAACTGTAATAAAATAATATTATATTGGATACTTGAATCTAATTGAACTTTAGCATATAATTCAGTTAAAGAAAAGAAGTATCTAAAAGACCAAGTATTATTACTTGTTACAACAAATATAATAGAAAATAAAAAATTATTAATTTTATTTATTTATAAATATAAAATACTTTATGCTCTTAAAGAGATTAATAAATTTATACTATTAGTATAATACTATTAGAATACAAAAGTGTAAATATAAAGATCTATTTTTAGATCTTATCTTAATTAGCTCAATTCTATAATATGTATTACTAATTGAAAAATTTTACTTTTAATAAATAATATGATATACTATCAAACTGATAATATCAATGAATTATCAAATATTCAGATTTATTTTTTATTTTCTAATATTATTTTAATTATTTAACTTATGGATTAAGAAATATTATATATTTATAATTACTTTTTATTAATATGACTTATCAATTAAAATATAATATAAAAAGATTTTGTATTCTAAAAAAATTGCCATTTATAAAAAATTAATTAATTAAGAAAGCCAGCTTCTAAAGATTTTAATCCATGATACTATTTTATATATTAATTATATATAAAAAATGATTATAAAAGAGATAATTAAGCAAAGTTAGACATGATCTGATATTCTTTTATATTTCTTTTTATTTGAATTACCAGCTTTTAATGAAGAAGTTGAGATTATTAATCTAATAGAAATCAGATTACAAAGACTAATATTATCATAATAATATAAATTTCTTTAATTTAATAATCTTTCTTTAGTTATATAAAATTCTCTTTTTCTTTTACTTCATAATTTATCATATGATTTAAATTATTTTTATTTAATTATCTTATTATTATTATTTATATTTATTCTCTAAAATCATCCTCTAAATATTATATTTATTATATTCTAAATTTGAGATTTATTTTTTTAATTATAAATATATTAATTTGATATTAATATTTTATATATATAGTAAATTAATTAATTATAAATCCTTCATGAAATAACTATATTTAGAATATTGATCCCAAATATCTTTTCTTATTCTTTGATATTTTTTCTTGTTCTTTCATATTCTTTGATATTCTTTCATATCTTTCTATATTCTTAAATATCTATTTTTAATTAATTATTAGTTTTTTTATATAATAATATATATATTTACATAATATTATATAATTTATATAATTAAAAATATATAAAAGGATCTGCTCTCTCAGATAAAATAAATTCAGACTTGAAAAACATAAATTTAATAGTTAATTCT